TGGGGGATGAATTACTATATGGGGGATGAATTACTATAGGGGGGATGAATTACTATATGGGGGGTGAATTACTATGGGGGATGAATTACTATATGGGGGATGAATTACTATGGGGGATGAATTACTATATGGGGGATTAATTACTATGGGGGAAGAATTACTATATGGGGGATTAATTACTATGGGGGATGAATTACTATGGGGGGAAGAATTACTATATGGGGGATTAATTACTATGGGGGATGAATTACTATGGGGGATGAATTACTATGGGGGATGAATTACTATGGGGGATGAATTACTATATGGGGGATGAATTACTATGGGGGATGAATTACTATATGGGGGATTAATTACTATGCTTACTATGGGGGAATATTACTATACTTACTATGGATGACACATACACATCATTCATCTACTCTTGGTCCGCCCCCAGGTCCAATATATGAACCCATTGCGGCCCTCAAGTCAAAAAGTTTTTCAATAAATTTTTTTAAGATTTTCTAATGGTGGTGTGCCTCGTGATTTTTTTCATGAAAAAAGTGTGCCTTTGCACAAAAAAGGTTGAAAAACACTGTTTTAGAGGGCGCTGAAAGCTTGAAGCAGCTGCTCCCACCTCCCGAACATCCCAGTGCTCCAGCAAGCGCTGGAGGGGCAGAGCAGAGAGCTGGTGATTGACAGCCAATGACAGCTCACTGAAGACCAAGAACAGAGCAGCCAGTGGTTTTTGATCGCTGAGTTCTTGGTGTAGAGCCGGTCGGACAGCCATCCAAGTGAGTATGTATGTTTGCTTATTTTGGAACCCATACTCCTCTTTTAATTGAAAGTTCACAAAGAAAGAGTTCATTCAACTTTATGCACAACAACAAAACTCTTGTGCATTGCATAAAAATTCAGACATGCTGCATTTTTATGCAACGTTTACCTTGTATGAGTTGAACAGGACACATAGAGAACACATGTTCTCTCAAGGTCCTTGCATTCAGCCTGCATTAATCTAGTTGATCGGCAGTTTAATGCACCTGTTATGAATGGGCCTTAAAGTATCATTCTTTGGGTCCATTTTATACTATTTTGCAGTTTTCTTAAACGGAAAATATTGATTCTTAGGCAGCCAATAATTGATTAATTTTTTTTTGTTAAATCAGCGAGTTGAATGAAAAAATGAGCCGCTTCCCCATCAACATCGAATCCTTCACTCTGAGCTTTTGTATTCTGCCAGTCCATCAATAGAACCACCTAGCCCATACATGGTTTGAAATTTGCCTGATCCCTGCTAAATCGGTTGAATTTTGATTCATGCTTGGCCGTCTTTACATTTTAAAGAGCTTCAATAGCTCTGCACCAGGTCTCATAAAACCACTTCCACTTTCCCGATGACAATAAATACAGACATCACCTGCCTGGGCCACCCATATATTTCAGGTATGGCAGTCAGCTTGGATGGTCACATATTTTGGACAATAGGCCTCTACGGTGGTCTTAGGCAACCCAATCTTTTCACAGCCAGAATTAGATTGTAAGTATGGTAGGTGATTAAGTCCAGTTTTGGGGATAGTCCCTGCTTGAAGGAGGCTGGAAAAAATGTCCCTGCTTGTAACCCTGGCTGGGGGCTCCATTAAGGTTTGATGCTGGATCCCTCTCTTCCCCGCTGCTTGACTGAACAGCATAGCTTGGAAGAGGAGAGTGGGGAAACTTGTGATTGGTTGCATTCATAACTATAAACTTTAGCCCTGGTTCCAGACCAAATGAACCTGGGGAAAAAGTAGACCAGCTTTCGGTGGACCATCGAGCAGGGTATATAAAAGCAGGTTAGAGTACTGCTGTGTATAGCACCAACAAATGTGAGTTTACTTGACTTACGGTATTTCATGCATGGGTTTATAAATTTATGGAGTAAAAATAATTTTGGACTAGAAGGAAGCCTAGAACAACATCAACATCAAGAACAACAACACACACATGCAGTTGTGATATCCAGTGCGTGAGTCTCCTATAGGGCACACAAATTGTGTTTGAAAGGTTCACGGACCAAGTTCCAGTGAATTACAGCACTGATTGCATTTTGAACTGTATTTCTTGTGGACTTTGTCACACATTTACAGCACGTATTGTACATGGACTTTGTATTCATACTAGCTGGCAGATGTTTACCAATTATATTTAAGATTGTTTATTTCTCACTAACATATTATTTTATGTTTTATACAAATCACTTTGTATTATTGGTGGTGCAGATTGAATTATTTTGATAAGGTGTGCACATTTTATGTGAGCACTGGGGATTGACTCAATATTTATCTCCCACTGTCAATATATCCTCCACATGTAACTAACGGAGTAGCTATGGCGACATTGGGTGTGTGTGTGTGAGAAGGCTCTACTAGTCTATCTGTACTGCCTGAGCCCTCTATCAACTGCTCCATCATGTGGGTATGTGTGTGTACTACCTGCGCCCATTATCAAATGTCCCCTCTTTACTATCTGAGCTTACTATCAACTGCCCCACTGCATGTATGTGAGTGGACACCTGTGTGTACTGATTCTTCCTGTCCCTACCATCAACCATCCCTTCTGTACTGCTTCCCTCTGTACTGCCTGTTTTCACCATCAACTGCCGGCTCTGTACTGCCTGTTCCAACCATCAACTATCCCCTCTGTATTACCTGTTCCCACCATCAACTACCCCCTCTGTACTGCCTGTTTCCACCATCAACTTCCCCCTCTGTACTACCTGTTCCTACTATCAACTTCCCCATCTGTACTGCCTATTCCCACCATCAACTGACCCCTCTGTACTGCCTATTCCCACCATCAACTGACCCCTCTGTACTGCCTGTTCCAACCATCAACTGCCCCATCTGTACTGCCTATTCCCACCATCAACTGACCCCTCTTTACTGCCTGTTCCCACCATCAACTGCACCCTGTGTACTGCTTGTTATTTAATAATCCCTCTGACACCAATGCAAAAGCATGTTTTCCTCCCACTGACACTGGCACAGGGGTATTTGCATTTTTTCCTTCCAGTGACATGTTTTCCTCACACTGAAGCCGGAACATTTTTTCTGTTATCACTGTTAGTGGTATTTTATGGATATAAGGAAGCAGTGTGCAGTATTCACAGCAACTAGGCACAGGTTTTGTTTAAACATCTCCTCATCTCCCACTGCTTGCCGAAGCACGCTATGTGTGCCACAGAACTTGTTTGTGGATTCTATCCTTCTTTCATTATCCTAGTGATGTTTACATTTTTCACACTGTTTTCACTTTTTAGCTGTAAATCCAGGGAGAGTAGCTTTAAGAATATTGTTAACATTTACATATTGTTTATACTTTTTAAATAATATTATTGATTGAAAAGGTGGACTAATCTTGTGGGTGTGTTTAAAGTGGGCATGGTCAATAGAGTGTCCCCGGATATCATTTTGGAAATATTGTCACAGAACTAAACCCGCCTATTTGTTATAGCCAAGAAAGCTGCCATCTTGGTTTCCATTTGATCTGAAGTTTCTGTGGCTCTGCACATTTTGATCAGTTATGATACCAGCCCTTTGATGGCTTGACAGTTCAGTTAAGAACACAGGCAAATATGACAGTTATCATTCTCGGCATGCCCTGAGTGTAAAGCAGGCCTTAGACAATATGGAAACCAAACCAAAATTTAGAATCGTTTGTTTTTCGCATTATTAGTGTGCCAGCTGCGACATGCGATTTCTGTGCTGCAATCGAAAGTGCCTGATCCAACCTGACAGATGTGTATAAAAAACAAAACAATTGATGGCACAATCGTATGAGCTATTTTTTTGTTGTTCGCTCAACAGAACTTTTGGATTTTGACTCATCTATGACTTGCATAACTCTTTTGGGACACAGTAAAACTGATGGATTTAACTCCACTTTAACATATGGGTACTTCTGAAGATCTGCGTTGTGCAAATAAGCACTTTATAGTAGTGTGCATTTAAATATTTTTAATGCAATGTAATAAAAAGTAAATATCTGCGTTTGACAGTTGCAAAATCAACTGTAATTGTAATCAAAATAAGACATTTACATTCACACGGACTTGCGTATCTGACAGCAGATTAACACCGGTAATCTGCGCTTGAAAAAGTTTAAATATTTCCTGCAGATATTACCCAAAACATACAGCACTTACATAATTCTATAAAGTGCAAACAACCATTATACAAGTGTATATTTTAATATATAAACATATATCCTTTAAATCAATGCATTTGTCTATATTGTGCAACAGTAATGGTATATAACTCCTCCTCCGTGAAAATAAAGTGCTTCATGCAATCACTTCCAGTGTCTGTTCTTTGTGCTCCACTTCACCTCCGTTTGCCACCACCATAACACAGAACTCACCAGACAGCCGTGATCTTCTCAATTAGGAGTTGGTCTATAGGCGCTTGTTTGTATATATAGGATCCCCTCTCCAATGGGTCACTCCACTATGCTCCTCACTTATAACTTCGGCAAGAATATCATATATCTTGCTTCACTCCTGGCCTCAAACAGGATTCTCCAGCCCCCCTTGTGTTTGTTCACGAGACTTCCAGACTTCCTCCAGCCTCCCTGGACACGCAAGCCTCTAACTTTCTCGACCTCCTGAACCAAGACCCTCTCTTGGTTTCCCAGGCCTGTGTAGCTGCCCCAACCTTCCCAATTCCTTGGGCAAGAGAGGGGATCCTATATATACAAACAAGCGCATATAGACCAACTCTTAACTTAGAAGCTCATGGCTGTCACTTGAGTTCTCTATTATGGTGGTGGCACAAGGAGGTGAAGTGGAGGAAGAGGAGTTATATACCATTGCACGTTTTGAAGGAACTGTTGCACTATATGGACAAATGCATTGATTTGAAGGATACATCGTATTTTTCGCTCCATAAGGCGCACTTTTTTCCCCCAAAAAAATGGGGGAAAATGTCTGTGCGTCTTATGAAGTGAATATGGAGTGGCCGGTCCAGTATTCCCGCCACCGCCGTGTCAGAATACCGGGCCAGCCGCTCGGCTCTCCTCTGTAGCAGATCCTTACCTGTTCCTTGGTCCAGCGCTGTGCAGTCTTCTCTTCCAGTACTCCTGTACTGTGTCCGCAGTCTCTGGTCATCTCCTGTACTGTGTCCGCAGTCTCTGGTCATCTCCTGTACTGTGTCCGCAGTCTCTGGTCATCTCCTGTACCGTGTCCACAGTCTCTTGGTCATCTCCTGTACTGTGTCCGCAGTCTCTGGTCATCTCCTGTACTATCTGCGAAGTGAAACAACAAGAAGCGCACCAACCTTGTGCATTACCTCAATAACCAAAATTTATTAAATGAAGGAAAGGTACTCACAAACAGCGAATAAAAACAGGCATGTAAGTCCACCCAGGGACTTCAAAGGTAAGAGGCCAGCGCGAATCCCATCATGGGTGTAGGTACTCAGTCCAGCTGACGCGTTTCGAAGGTCATGCCTTCTTCCTCAGAGCTCAGGCATGACCTTCGAAACGCGTCAGCTGGACTGAGTACCTACACCCATGATGGGATTCGCGCTGGCCTCTTACCTTTGAAGTCCCTGGGTGGACTTACATGCCTGTTTTTATTCGCTGTTTGTGAGTACCTTTCCTTCATTTAATAAATTTTGATTATTGAGGTAATGCACAAGGTTGGTGCGCTTCTTGTTGTTTCACTTCGCAGTTTGTTCGGGCTTCCCCAGTCTTGGTTTGGAGCTGCACGACCTTGGATACTCCGGTGGTTGCTTCTCTGGAGTTTTTAATTCTAATTCTACTTAATTCCACCTACTCACCACCGGCCTGGGTCCCGGAGCGCAGGAGAAATCGTTTTCGCTTTTATCTCCTGTACTATGTCCATTGGTTCAGAATATTTTTTTCCCGTTTTCCTCCTCTAAAACCTAGGTGCGTCTTATGGTCAGGTGCGTCTTATGGAGCGAAAAATACGGTAAGTAGCACTTTATATATTTTAGGAGTCACAAGTTTATATATTAGAATATACACTTGTATAATGGTTGTTTGCACTCTATATAAATATGTAAGCACTATATGTTTTGGGTGATATTTGGTTTAACACATAAGTGTGTGTATTACAGCAACTATTTAGTATAGAGGGTGTTAATAGAGTGCAGGTGTTTTTGTTTATGTGTATTTCTTGCAGATAGTTGCAGTGTGTAAATGGGTTTAGTTGCATTTAGTTATGTCAGCCTTTTCAGATGTATTTATCTCAATATCCATTTCTTGGGGAAATATATTCCAGACACCTGCTTTTCTGAGCAAGGAGATAGACCTTTGCCATTGAAATGGAGTGCATAGCTAAGCTAGTGCTTACCATTGTGTGCCTGTGTGTGAGGAAAAGATTATATAAGGCCGGTTCATGTGCACAGCACTACTGTTAAAAAAGCACCACACCAAACTGCATGGTACTACAGTACCATGCGATTTGGTGCCTGTAAATGCACTACGTTGTGATCTGTGTTTGGGGTGCGGTTAAAAAGTAATTGGCATCTGCATTCACATTGCAAGGGCAGTGCGGTCACCGTCGGTGTGGGAAACATGCAAGGAACACGCTTGTCCCACACCACGTGTCAACTGGCCCTAAGGTAGATGGAGAGGAAGAGAGAGAGACAAATGAAGCGAAGATGGGCACATCTCCTAACATCCCAGCATCTAACTAGGGGATATTTTGTCCTGATGGATGATGAAATGAGAACCTATCCTGATACATTATAGAACTTTCCCAGAATGTCAGTGTCCATCTTTGGCAGCTTAATAACTAACTATTATTAGACCATGTCTGCAAAGAATGAATACCAACAAGAGGAGAATACCAACAATTCAGAAAGTAAAGCGGAAGTGTATCATTTCCTGCTGCTAAATGCAATGCAGCTATCTGCGGCTAAACGCAAAGCTGCAGATAGTTGACACTGGACGCAGCACTTTTCCTAAAAGCAGCTAAATTATCTGCAACTAAATGTTGCTAATCATTATGTATGAATAAAATGATTACTTTGCAATGTGTAAGTCCAGCTGCTTTTAGTAACGTCTTCTAAACGCAGCTAGACTCTAAATTGTAGACATCCGTGTGAATGTAGCCTTACTTTTTGTAAATTTGTCTGCACGCACAAATGTAGAATTTTCTGATTGTTTCAGATAAGATGTATTTGTCTATATTTTACCAACAACTGCGAATTAGCCACCGAGGAAGGGGAAGTGACATGATTTCTCCCCTAGCCTAAAGTAGAGATTATTTACTGGGGTACAGGTGACCGATTGGGCAGCATAAGCAAGTAAGAGCAACATTGCTCAGTGCCTATGCATGTACTTTAAATTAACCTGAGTACCACTTTATTTTAATATGGATACTATACTAAAAGCTCCAAGAAATAAAAATGAAGGTGTTACTTATTTAAGCCAATCACATTTCATCTGTTTTTTTAACACAGTTAACCTCAATTATTTAGTCAGTTTGTAAAGAAAACATGCTTAGTAACAATAAGCCTGATGCAAACATACAGGATATGTGTTTAGCAAAGCAAGCATTATCCATGCACTGCAAAGAACATCTGAGCACCTCTTGGTATGTATAAACAGTGTTCTTTAGTGTCAAAAACTACTTACATGCTGCAATATATTTTATGTGAAAATGGCAGAATGGACATACATAAAAATCATACAACAAACTACTGTGTATATTATTCTTATTTCCCTCAGGTGGTAAACCCTTTCAATGTTAGAGATGTTGCAGAACAGGTGTATATGAAGGTCTGCTTAATCTTGCCTTGCCTAGATAAGGTAAAGCTCTATGCATCTCCTAGATACGTTTTATTATCTGCAAAACAGCAGTTATTAAATTATATGATATGAAATGTTTGTATAATGTACCACTTGGTAACGCTACAGGTCTGTCAGAATAAATTACGTACATTTATCACACAAAAAAAAAAAAGAAACAAAAAAGCTGTACATTTCATCATTAAAAAGTAGTTCTTGAGTTGAAATCAAGTGACTATGCCTAGGATGAGATGTCCTCAGTCTGCTGCAAGTTAGGGAAAACAGAGCAGGAGGCTGATCTGTGTCAGACATTTGTGATCACAGCCAGGAACAGCACAGGCACAAAGATTTACATGACTGTGTTATCTCATACCAGGAAGTAGATGCTGGCCCTGGATAATTCTACTTAACACTTGTTTATTGTGTCAATATCCAGACTTCCTTAAAAAAATAACCTCTATTATGTATACCTTAAAATATCTCTCATATCAGACACTTATACATTTGGCCTTTTGATAGCCAACCTATATTCCAAACTTGCACTTTTGGGACTACTATCACAGAAATACTGATCTCACTTCTGTAAGGAAGGATGTTGGAATCTCTATCGGTAGAGTCTGGAGGAGGTGCAGGATATTCATTTTTAGAATTTTACATCCGCCAACCAGGAGAAAGTTAAGTTCCCATTATTTGAAGTTCATGCATGAGATTGGGTAATGAATTGGCAGGGCCTTCTAACTGGACCCCCTGAATTTCAAGGGTTAGCAATAATTTTATACTGGAGGGGTTTAAAGATAAGAATGAAAGCCATTTCCGTAACTGGTAGGTTACATAAGGCTTCATAAAAGTGTTTGAATTCATTGGAAATGTCTTTAGGCATGTGAAATCTCCATTTTCCATGTCTATATGGGGTATATAGGTACGTCTTTGTTGTTTGCGCAAGGTGTTGGCTAGAATGTTCTTACTCGTAGATGGTGTGTCGATTTTATTAAAGTTGTTTTCTCTTTCCTGAGGCAGATTTATTTAAGGCTAGCCTAAATGAGTTTGACCTTGTTTATGTGCAAATTCCAATATTTTTTAGATTGTTTCTGTGGCTCATTTTTACTTTCTTAATCCTAGAACCGTTTTATTAAGATACTCTGTACAATTGTTTTTTGAGTAGCCCAAAAGACAATAGGGTCAGTATCAGGTCTAGAGTTGATGTCAAAGTACAGTTCAAGTCCTCTAAGAACTTGAACTCTGACGATCGACTAGTCTTTTGTTAAGAAACTAGTTTTTTTCCCACCAGCAGGTAAAAATGAGGCAAGGTCTCTGTATTTTAGAAAGAGAAATACCAATTTGTGTGTACATTTTATGAATGTGGGAGTAGAAAGTATAGTTCCTAGTTGAGACCTGTTGCATTCTCCTTACATCACAAGGTTGATGTGGCTGGAGAAGACATTTCATTTTGTGTAACTTGGAATGGGAGAGAGTCGAGGAGCGATGGGATGTGTCAACCTGGGACCAGGAAAAATGCACCCAGAAGAAGGGGAAATAAAAGAAGGGAGGTCTAAAGTTGGAACTAAACCGAGGAAGGGTTAGGACAGGGGGGTTACCCTCTAGAAAGAAATGCTTTACTGCTCCCTTTAGTCCTTGATGAGAGGGTAGAGAATGGCCTAAGTGGTGGAAGTAGCGTGTGCATGGTTGAGCATAAGGCTCTCTACCAAACTGCAGCAAAGTATAACAACATAATTATTATGGAGTTGGATACCAGACTGAGAAGTCTAGTTTAGTATGGTCTAACCCTGGAGAGAGGTAGAGTACTACAACTACTGGCAGAATGTTGAGCAAAAGAGGCAGGTCTGTTAATACCAGGTCTGCTGGAGGAGAGATCTTGTCCAGTAATTCTGTAGAAAGGGGAGAAGTCCATGGTGCAGGAGTGCAAGGCCTGTAGGACCAGTCCCAATAGCTCAAGAGATAGGCAACTTATGCCTACAGTTCTGTACATGTACATGAAAAGCATCATTTAGGAGGAAGAAGGCACATGAGTGAGAAATAAACCAGGGCAGTTGCAAGTAGATGTACATCATATGGTTGCAGGAGTGTCCAGGGATTCAAAATGAGGCCATTGAGTGTCTTTATTGGGAAGAAGGGAGCCAAAGAAGCCAAACTGACAGGTTGTTCAGTCCACTGGGGATAGGCTCTTCATAGGTTCCACATAATCCCATAGTATTCAACAGTAATGGCCTGTGTAGGTGAAAAGGTTAGTAGGCAGAGAAAGGGTCCACTCTGATCAAGACAAGTTTTAATCCTCAGAAGTTTTGGGTCCCGGACAGGTATTTTCCCATCTGGGAAAATAGCACTGGGATCTATGGTGGCATTGAGGTCTGCAGGTTGAGAAAGTTGGTCCAGGGGATCTGAGGGTATCTCAAGCGAGTTTGGAACAGAGAGTTCTCTGGTGTCTGGAAAGTGGAATAGGTTGGGTGCTGTGCAAGAAGAAATTCTGGCCATCTTTCTTTGCAGTAAGGTGAAAAGACTGACTGCATTTGTAGGCTGTCTCAGTGGAATTAATGTGGTCCAGTAGAAGTCATAGGTTCCTCCTTTCTGCAGGATACATTTAGAAAGATCAGGCAACACTTGAATGCTAGCTCTGTCTAAGTTGTATTGGCCTTTGAAAAGGGCCTTGCATAGAAGATCCTCCTTTATAGTGAAGCAGTGGACCCTGCACAGGCTATATCTAAAAAAGTTCTGCAGTAGTTCATGGGTATTGGCAGGAGCATGTTTCGTTAGCCTTGATAGCAGCTTTGAGGTCAGAACCATTTGTGGCTTCAGGGAAACCCCTTATCCTTACTTTATTGCAGTGACCCCTATTTTCGCCATCTTGACTGCATAGATGCAGGGATTGCAGATGGTGGGTGTAAGATTCACATGCAGTCTCCAGGGACTTGATACATTCCTTTAGGGCTGAAAATGTATTTTCTAATGCAGTGACCTGTTTATATGGTGGACATCCTAGTGGAGCTCCTCCACCTCATTCTTCAACATAGATATGCAAAGCCAAAGCCTCTAGGTCCACCTTACTTTCCAGGGAAACAAGATTCCCACCCGCTTGACAATTCTACCCACAGCTCTCATTGAGTAGTAATAAGGAGAAGAAGGTGATCCCCTGTAGCAGATATGCCCGCTTGTGCAGAGTGGCTATTCTGTGTGGCGTGCAAGCATGTCAGGTAGACACCATCTCTGATGTGGTTGAAAGCCCGAATTTGGAAATAAAGGGACTGAAATAGCACTAACCTTACTGTAACTTTATCTTCCCTGGTACTGGATCATGCTTGGAAGTACTTTGGTGGGGGCATATTGTGAGTACCAAGCTGGTTAAAGTATTTTTTCAGCTTTCAGAACACAGAGCTTGCTGTCTCAGCATCTGCGCACTTCCATTGCTGGCCACGCTCTTCACCATTCCAGTATTATTTCCATTAGTGTATCTTTCCCATTATGTGAATTACAAAATGAAATACCTGTTAAATAAAAGGAGTGGCTAGCATGAATTTACTATTAAAGAAAGATATATAAATGGGGTGATGGGGTGAGACTAGGCGGCTATTTTCTTTGCCACTGCTCACTATGGTGTGCACAGATATCCTGCTCACTGTTCATGTTGATTAACATTTTCACTCCTGATGAAGCCACTGATATGGCAAAACCTTGAGTTATGGGGATATGATTTTGTGTACATTTTAGTATGGGAAGCATTCTTAATTTGAATAGAAAGTGACATTTTAAAATATTATGCAGATGTAAAAACGAGAAATGAGTCAAGAACAATAGAAATTTTAAAACGCTGTCTTAATGAAGACAGTCAGAAATTAATACTAAGAAGATCTAAGAAATATTATGAAGCAAATTATCTACTCAACTGATATTGTCTGTCTCCTCAGTGTTATAGGGGAACTCGTTACATTACCATTTAGTCCCAAAAAAGGTTCCTGGCACAGGTTGGCTATCAGAACAAATGATCATATGAAATAAGAGAGGTTATGTTTATACAATTTTAATTCTACCATAAGGATAAATAATAGCAGTTAGGAAATGAGCCTGGATTATATCTGAATCAAGGTGCTGCTTTTCTCCTGAAGGGAAAAACAGATAAAGGCATAATCCCAGAAGTATTGTAAGAGGTAAAAAATACCTGTGGTACACTAAGGGCCCAGTCACACCAAATGCACACATTTTCATGCGATAGTGTGCATGGTCTTAAGCAGCCTACTCATAATAAATGGACAATCAATGCTCAGAATTAGTCAGTCCTCTGCAGTTTCTGTGTGTGCTGTGTACTATAACACAGGTACAGTATGTTGCAACGCACAGTATATGTGCATCAGGGTGCAATTAAAGCTGAACTCCAGGGACGATCTATTCTGCATGCTTACATTGGACCTGCTTGGCACAATAAGTATGCCTATCTGTGGAACCTGTAAATCACTGTAGTAGCCTGAGCTTCTGGGTGCTATGCCAAGCAGTTGCCTATCTTTATAGTAACCACAGGGTGTCATTCGCTCAGTACAACCACCATTCAGAAAAAAAATAAGCATAATGCGCTCTCTAATTGGACAAGGTGAAGATTGTGGCGTCAATACCTCTTCACTCCACCTTGTCGAATCAGAGAACATTTTGCATTCATTAAGAAAAATTAAAAGCGTCCTCTGAATAGCGCCACACTAAGTGAGTGATCCCCTGTGGCTATTATAAAAAACGGCATCAAATGGGCAAAGGACCGCGGTCTTCACTGTAGTAGCTCAGGCTTTTAAAGGGATTTACAGCTTTCACAGAAGCTGATCACATATGCATATTCACATTGAACCAATCTGGCCCAATGTAAGTATGCAAAGTAGGTCATGCCTCAAGTTCAGCTTTAACTTTCATTACAACACAAAACTACAGTGCCACTACCATATGTTGAGTTAACGCATGTTATAACATGGGTTATGGTTCACATTACAGTGTGAATGAGTCCTTACACAATATTTATAATGCATGCATTAGTAGGATAAACTAAATCTAATGCCAGGCCCTACTTTAAGATCCTTCCTACGCTATTGTTTCAATTATTACATAGGCTTTTCCTTAGCCCAGGTTGTCACATTTATTTTCTTTTTTAATTTTAAATAAAGGCTGATTTTACCTATGTTTTGCACTTACTATTTCCTACCATTATGAAATCAGTCATTCTGGTCCTTAGCATCTACAATTGTTAAACCATGCTCCCATTTTAAAATTGTTTTCTGAACAATATTAACAATTTCTTCTTTTTAGCTAGCCTTATTTTTTTTTGTGAGTGTGTGTTTCTCAGTATTGTATACCCCATGTCTTTGCACTGTTTTTTGGTATAACTTTCTTTCTTATATCATTTCTTTTCTCATATCTTCCTTCATACTCAGAGCGTCATTTGCTCCTCTACTACACTTCTCATTCACTTGGTCTCCTCTCTTCCCTTAATTATCTTTATTATCAATGCTTCATTTGTTCAAATGATGAACCCCTTGCATGCGGTCATCCACATCCCTGGCTTCTCCCCTCCCCCCTTTAGAGTTATTGGTTCATTCAGGGTTAATTCTTCTCTTCTCCCATACTACAGACATCTCCTTTGGTGTTACTTTCTAGTCCGGCTCCCATACACAGCATTTCTTCTGGAATAGTCTCCAGTTCCTCACTCTGCAGAGCCTGCGTAATTAGTGCAAGTTCTTCACAAAGAGTCTCGTAGCGATATCCAACTCGAATATCAGGTACGTTGGTTCTTCTGATATCATTCCCCTCTGGACCTTCACGAACATAATTGGGGCCCAGCCAGTAACTTTTGACCTGTCACATAAAAAAGGTTCAAATAAACAGAAGTCCTTCACAGTAAATGACATGCTAAGAATTCACACAAAACCGACATTATGTTTGGGTGCATGCTGAATAGCAGAATTAGCCACTAGGTTCTCATATATCTAAGGGATTCTGAAGATGAGATCCCAAGTTTTGCCACTGCAGTTATGAATAACTATTACTCAACTTACATGTTTTCTGGAGAATGTAAAAAAGATATAAAACTTCCCTTACTGCAGATGGACAAATATGATTTAAAATCAGAGGGCTACAATTTTGAGTAGTAATCACCAACAGATGTACTGTAAGATATCAGTGCATCCACAACTGAAATACTATATTCAGTTGGCTGACCTTTTTATCTGATGCTAAAAATTCATGTTACAAGTTCATTGGCGATGTGTAAAGTGGAATATCTAGAACAGGGGGGGGCAACTGTGGCCCTCCAGTTGTTGGTGAACTACAAGCCCCATCATGCCTCTGCCTTTGGGAGTCATGCTTGTAACTGTCAGTTTTGCAATGCCTCATGGGACTTGTAGTTCTACAACAGCTGGAGGGCCACAGTTGCCCACCCCTGATCTAGAACAAGACTGAGTTGTAGATTACTTACAGAAGCTTACTGTTTAACGTTTGCAGATGGAGGGCTACAGTTTGGCTATAACTAGTTATAGATGGCCTGTTGGCAAGCACTACTCTGTATATCAGTGGTCACTAAATGGTCGACCGCGGTCCAGAACCGGACCGAGGGACAGTCCCGTCCGGACCACAGCCACACCACCATCACCACCGGATGCCCTCCCTCGGGCCCCCCCGCCCAGCCACTGACACCATCCCCACAGCGGGCGGGGTGTGAGGAGCTGCAGATCAGGACTGAGGGGCAGGAGCTGCCCAAGTCACCATGTCAACAAAGGGGACTCCCGCCCCCCGCCTCGAGCCACAGAGAGCGGAAGTCCCCACACACCAACAAGCCAGGCAATCACCACCTCCCGCCCCCCAGTTCCGACCCGCAGTCCCCCCCACACACCGGCGGAAGAGGACACCCAACAGCAGCAGCGGCACGGCCTTGGTCTGGACAGGACTGTCCCTCAGTGGGCAGGGTGTGAGAAGCTGAAGATCGGGACCGAGGGGCAGGAGCCGGCAACCACCCAGCCAGTCAACAATGAGACCTCTGTTCTCTGCAGCTCGATACAGAAAGCAGGAGCCCCCACACCAGCAAGCCAGGCAATTGCCCACCTGCCAACACAACAACCTAGGCAGCTCCTGTCCCCCACACCTTGTCCATGAGGACAACGGTGGCGGGCCAGAGGCCCTAGACAGGACACCCCAGAAGGATTAATGTCTGTGCCCTGCCTAAGGTACCAGGGGAAGGCTTGCATTAAAGGGAGCTCTGTGCTGTGTTAAAGGGCGCTGTGTTGTTAGGGGCACTGTGTTGTGTTAGGTGTGCTGTGTGTTTTAGGGGTGCTGTGTTATGTTAGAGGCACTGTGTTGTGTTAGGTGTGCTGTGTGTTTTAGGGTGCTGTGTTATGTTAGGGGTGCTGTATTGTGCTAGGAGTGCTGTGTTTTCATTTCAGTCTTTGCAGATGACACCAAGCTGTGCAGTGGAGTAACGTCCTTACAGGATGTCTCCAACATACAAGCCGACTTCAATGCACTGTTTAATTGGGCAATTATGTGACAAATGAGGTTTAATGTTGATAAATGTAAGGTTATGCACTTGGGGGCTAAAAATATGCATGCATCATACATACTAGGAGGGGTACAACTGGAGGAATCAATGGTGGAGAAGGGGGTTCTGGTAGATCACAAGCTTAATAATGCCAAACTGTGATTCTAAACTGAGCAAAATCCTCTCTTGTATTAAAAGAGGTATAGACTCCAGAGAGAGAGATATCATATTACCCCTGTACAAATCATTAGTAATACCTCATCTGGAATATGCAGTTCAGTTTTGGGCACCAATTCACAAAAAGAACATTGGGGAACTGGAGAAAGTGCAGAGAAGGGCAACCAAACTGATAAGAGGCATGGAGGAGCTCAGCTATGAGAAAAGATTAGAGGAACTGAATTTATTCTCTCTTGAGAAGAGGAGATTAAGGGGGGATATGATCAACATGTATAAATACATCAGTGGTTCATATAGTGAACTCGGTGTTGAACTATTCACCCTGAGGTCATCACAGAGGGCAAGGGGGCACTCTTTACGTCTGGAGGAAAAGAAATTTAATCTCCAAACATGGAAAGGTTTGCAGACTCTGGTCATCACCTGTAGTACATCCGCAGTCTCTGGTCATTTCCTGTACTATGTCTGCAGTCCATTGGTTCAGAATATTTTTTTTTTTCTTGTTTTCCACCTCTGAAACCTAACCTGCATCTTATGGTCAGGTGCATCTTATTGAACAAAACTGGATACTAACATTTATAGGTAAAGTTGATCCAGGGAATATCCGATTGCCTCTCGGGGGATCAGGAAGGAATTATTTCACTTGCAGGAGCAAATTGGAGTATGCTTTACTGTTTTTTTTCTTGTCTTCCTCTGGATCAACTGTGGGTGTAGGATTATAACTTTTTTTTTTTTTTAATGGTTGAACTAGATGGACTTTTGTCTTTTTTTTCAGCCAGACTAACTATGTAACTATGTGTTATGTTAGAGGTGCTGTGTTATGCTAAGGGCACTGTGTTGTGTTAGGGGCAATGTTGTTTCATGGGCACTGTGTTGTGTTAAAGGGCACTGTGTTGTTAGGGGTGCTGTGTGGTATGTTAAGGGTTTCTGTGTTGTGTTAGGGGCGCTGTGTTGTGTTAAAGGGTACTGTGATGTAGAGGGGGGGCAGTGATGTGAGGGGAAAAAAGGACACTGTCGGACTTCTTTAAAGAGGGGACTGTGATGTAGTGGGGACTACAGTGTGAAAGTTACGCTAAAGATCATAATGTACCGGGGGACTGTGATATGTTATATCGTTAATGAGATTCGCACCTCTGCTGGAAGGAAATTTTGCTGACCGGACTTCCATAAATTTTAATTCAAGACCCCTGCTTTATATGATATACATTAAAGTATAACTTGTTTACTCTCAATTGTTTTACTGGATGATTAACTGCAAACATAGCCAGCCTATGACACTGTTATGACAGAATGTTTTCCAGTGCAATCTAGGCTGAATATGATAAAAGACACATTCACTTGGGCAACTGGGGGTTACCACTCATAAGAATCAGAGCTAAACTCTGCATGCTCATCTGAGCAGTTACATGTGAATAGAGCCTCAGACCAACCCTGGATGCAGACAGTCTGCATCCAGGAACGGTCTTTCAATGCCATTTCTGGCCACACACAAACTGGCCCACAGCAAATAGACCAGTATGCCCAGCACAGACAGAGTCAGCATCCAGAGGCAGCACTTACCTCTAAATGCAACAAACTATCCACCCCAGCCACCCAGGTGAATGTAACCTAAGCTGTGCAACAGACTCCTACAGGACTAGAACTGCACATGCATGACTCATTGGGGTTGATTTACTAAAGACAAATAGACGCAGTTGCACTCTGCAAGAGCATTTGCTCCAGAGCTTAGTAAATAAGGGGAAGCTCTGCTGACTTCCATCATCCAATCATGTGCAAGCAAAAATGCTGCTTTTTATTTTCCTAGCATGTGACCGGGTATTCTTTGCAAAGTAAAGCTTTACCGCATTTACTAACCTCTGGAGCAAATGCCCTTGCAGAGTGCAACTGCACGTGCAAAACGCACAGCATATTTGTCTTTAGTAAATCAACCCTATTATTCTCAAGCCAGTTGACCAAGAAGATCACACATATGCAGAGTAAACCCAAAGCTTGTCATCTGTATGGTTGTTACAAGTCAGTGACTCATATAGTATTCAAACTGTACGTAAACACCAAATTTCACGTATTTACTCCTTTTTGGTCTGTTAACAATACCATCAACAGCATTTTGTTATATTTGTTCAATAAATGGAAAAAAATACCTGTTGACCCTGCCAGAAAGCTTGTGAGTTAACTTCCTGCACTCTCTGCTTTTGCTGACTGTTATCAGTATACAGAACACCTCTTCCCATGCTGTGAAGAAGAGAAGAGGGGGAGGTGTTCTGTAGTGCAGTTCAGTTGTAACAACACTGCTCCTTCATAGATATGGTAGAGGGAATGACCGTTGTTACCCTAGGCAAGAAAGTGTGTTATTGGCAGGATCAACAGCTGAAAATTAAAGAATGAATCCTAAAACATATCTATTGCAGCCACCAAAGGTAAGGACTGATAAGCTACAATATATTAAATTTTTGCTCTTGGGTTTAGATATGCTTTGTAGATACACTGTCAACATGCCGATGCAGGAAAAAGTGACAGTGTCTCTGCAAAGAACATCCCCCGACTTCCCATGTACTTAAGTGCTGATTCACACATGTGCGGTGCGGATTGAAGCTCAGGTTTTACAGCTAATTGACAAAGTAGTTGTTCAGCGGTTCAGGTCAGGTTTACATCAGGTTCAAGACAGGATCAGCTCAGGATTTTATCCTGTTCACACATGTCAGGTTTAGAAACGGCTCCCATAGAAGTCATTAGACTGTAATCCGCACCTGAACCGAACCGCACTGCTCAGAAATCGTACAGGATTCTTTTTTAAACCACACTGAATCTTCACCACCAATGCACCAGACATATGTGAACAGGCACCATAGGAAGCAATGTTATTTCGCATGTCATGCGAATTGGATGTGGTTCAAACCACATCCAATCCGCATATATGTGAATGGGCACTAAAAATATTCTTTCACAGCACCTTGTGGTGATGTCATTCCCTAATCATGTGACAGTACCTATTGATTAGCACTGTCACAAGGATGTAGGACACATGTACCCCTACCTGGAAGTGCTGAGTATTACTGACAGCTGCAGAAGAAAAAAGAGCTTTGAGGGAGCACAGATAAGTGAGTATGAGGGGATTAGGATACCCTTTGCAGAGACACTGACTTTACCCTGCATGTGCAAAGCAATAGCGTCTTTTTAAGTTACTGGATGAGCATGACAGCAAGGGAATTAACATTTTTAACACAGCTTTCATATATCTATAGTACAGCTTTAAATTGATTTGTAACACCTGTTTCTGAAAGTTTTCCCATGAAAAAATCTGGCATTACATTTCTTTTAATAATCACAAAAGCAAATAATCCAATGCATAATTGTGTCACCTTGTGAGGAAATCCACTCATTAAAACACTGTTTCTTGCCAGCTCACACATATCACATGAGCTCAGTTTCCATACTTGGGTTGCAATGCTGTATTCTTCCATCAAAGGCTCCTGTAACATAGAAATAAATATGAGAAGTCATTCACTGAGGACTCAGTTACACATGAGATTTGTATTGCCTGTGATCATAAAACTGAACCCCTTGCTGACAGCTAAAATGAATGTACTGCCAATGAAAAAAAACCCTGGGTTAAACCTCATGAAAACCACACAGACATGAGTAGTGTATTGTGTAAAAGATATAAATGTTGTGCATGACAATACCTTTGTGAAATGAAATTGCAGAGGGTCATCTGTGGACAGTGATACCATAAGGCCACGTGACAAGAAATCAGGGAGAGGATTCCTGTGATAGCTCAGAAACAGACTGTTATTGCTTAAAGGAGACATAGCGATGCCAATCTGTGCCAGGTAGTATAAATATTGCAAAACTGGAGCCTGCAGCAAAAGACATAGAAGAATCAAATGTGCTTAACTAAAGGCAAACAAATGAAGAGGAGAGAAGCTTAAGAGAAACTGTAAATTTAAAGCCAAAATCTATGCAATTGTAATGGCAATCATTCTTTCTTTTTATGTGCAATCAGCCCTCAGTTTTCTCTGTGGAGTTTATTTATAACCAGGTGAAATTGTAATTCTAACTTTTATCTGTGGAAATATCCCTTTGATTGTTTCCCAATTGATTAATGTATGAAAAAGTGTATCTTTGACCATGGAAAAAAGGAAATTTTTTAATATTTTAATTTAATTATATTTTTTAGTTAACTATAGTTACATCCAGTTCCACCATAAAAAAGGTTATAATCCTATACCCACAGTTAATCCAGAGGTAGGCAAATAAAACACAGCAAAGCATGATCCAATTTGCTCCTGCTGGGGAAAACATTCCTTCCTGATCCCCTGAGAGGCAATCGGATATTCCCTGGATCAACTTTACCTATAAATGTTAGTATCCAGTTATATTCTATGTATCTAAAAAGGAATCCAGGCCATTTTTGAAGCAATCCACTGAGCTGGCCAGAACCAACTCTTGAGGGAGTCTGTTCCACATTTTCACAGCTCTCACTGTGAAAAAACCTTTCAGTGTTTGGAGATTACATTTCTTTTTCCTCCAGACGTAAAGAGTGCCCCCTTGTCCTCTGTGATGACCTCAGGTTCCAGATGAGGTCTTACTAATGATTTGTACAGGGGTAATATGATATCTCTCTCTCTCTGGGGTCTATACCTCTTTTAATATAAGAGAGGGTTTTGCATGCTTTAGAAACCGCAGCTTGGCATTGCATGCCATTATTAAGCTTGTGATCTACCAGAACTCCCAGATCCTTCTCCACCATTGATTCCCCCAGTTGTACCCCCCCTAGTATGTATGATGCATGCATATTCTTAGCTCCCAAGTGCATAACCTTACATTTATCAACATTAAATCTCATTTGCCACATAGTTGCCCAATTAAACAGTGCATTGAGGTTGGCTTGTAAGTTGAAGACATCCTGTATGTACGTTATTCCACTGCACAGCTTGGTGTCATCTGCAAAGACTGAAATGGTATTTTTAATCCCAGACCCTATATCGTTTATAAATATATTAAAAAGTAAGGGTCCCAACACTGATCCTTGGGGTACACCACTGATGACCCTAGACCAGGGGTGGGCAAACCTTTTGACTTGAGGGCCGCAATGGGTTCATATATTGGACCCGGGGGCCGGACCAAGAGTAGATATAGTAATTCATCCCCCATAGTAATTCATCCCCCATAGTAATTCATCCCCCATAGTAATTCATCCCCCATATAGTAATTCATCCCCCATAGTAATTCATCCCCCATAGTAATTCATCCCCCATAGTAATTCATCCCCCATATAGTAATTCATCCCCCATAGTAATTCATCCCCCATAGTAATTCATCCCCCATATAGTAATTCATCCCCCATAGTAATTCATCCCCCATAGTAATTCATCCCCCATAGTAATTAATCCCCCATATAGTAATTCATCCCCCATAGTAATTCATCCCCCCTACAGTAATTCATTCCCATATTAATTCATCCCTCATATAGTATTTCATCCCCCATAGTACTATTCCCCCCCAAGTAGTAAGCCAAGTCCCCCCTGTGTCAATTTACTTACCTTTGCTCCGCGCGTTCCTCTCGCCGTGTTCCCGCGCCGTTCCGGTCTTCAGGGCGGACTGTGAGAGGAGCCTAGCTCCCCTCACGTTCGTCACGCTGCCCCGCCTACACACATCCTGACAGCCATCCTGACAGTATCACGCTCCGCGGGCCGGATTAAAAGGTCCGCCGGGCCGTATACGGCCCGCGGGCCGTACTTTGCCCATTGCTGCCCTAGACCATTCAGAATATAAATCATTAACCACTACTCTCTGAATATGATCTTTTAGCCAGTTTTCTATCCATTTACATACGGATTTTTCCAAGCATGTAGACTTTACCTTACACATTAGCTGTGTGTGTGGAACTGTGTCAAACGGTTTTGCAAAATCCAAGTATACCACGTCCACTGCCACCCCTCTGTCCAAGGTTTTGCTCACCTTTTCATAAAAAGAAATCAGATTTGTTTGACAACTTCTGTCTTTCATGAATCCATGCTGTCTGTTGCTTAAAATATTTTTTTCCAGTAAGAATTCCTCTGTGTGGTCTTTTATTAAACTCTCCAGTATCTTCCCAACTATAGAAGTTAAACTAACAGGTCTAAAATTACTTGGTAAAGATTTTGACCCCTTTTTAAATATTGGCACCACATTGGCCTTACACCAATCCAGTGGTACTATGCCAGTCATTAAAGAGTCCCGAAAAAATTATATAACTATAACATTTCTATTTTATAAAATGTACATATTTTTCCCTTAACCCTCTCTAAATTGAACTGCTAAAGTGTCCTCTGAATCTTTTACTAGCTTAAAGCTGTCCGTAGATGGATATTCAGCAGGTTCAGCAGGGACCGGCTGCATTTCAAGCCATTCATGACCATTCCCATTACAGAGAAGTCAATCTAATGATCAACTTTTCTCAAGCCAGCTTGGAGGAACATTTTCCTTTGATCAGCCAGCCGGAGGACTGGGAAGTATTCTTCCACCACCTACCTCACTTATGTGGATGAGGGAATCCACTGAATTGTTTTGAAAACAACTGATTCATATATGGCCAGCCTAACTTGAGTCCCTTTCAAAACTGCCTATTACTTTCTGATAAGTAACAAGCAACCAGCTTGCAAAGTGTTTGTGATAAGTTGGCAAAGGGGCCCTTACTAGTTCTATTTAGGATGTAAATCAATTGTGCAATTGTAAAAAAAGAGAATCTGTCTTTAATTGAACAACCCATTGGCGCATTACTATTCAGTTTCACGGCTTTACTAGAAAATCATTTTGATGGCCTAAACTGGGCTCTTAAAGAGTTATTAAAGGCTATTTTTTTAAATTGAAATAACAAACATGGTATACTTACCTGCTGTGTGCAGTGGTATTCCACAGAACGGCCCCAATTGTCCTCTTTTCAATCTTGGCTACTCCTCTTCTTAGTGTGTCCCCATAGCAAGCCATATGCTATGGAGGCACATGGAGTCTGCTAACTCCCCAGCTGTGGAGTTGTGCTTCATAGACTCACACAGTGAGTCTTAGCCCCCCCTATTTTCTCCTCACTGCATTTGAATGACAGAATGCTGTCCGAGTCCTGTGGAAAGAGAAAGAGAGGAGAGAAGAGATCCAGCTGTGCACAGTGCTGGATCTCTTCTCCCCTCTCTTCCCCTTCATACAGGGAAGTGGGAGAACAGAGAAATATAAAACGTTTTTTAACCTCAATGCAAGTAAATGCATTAGGTAAAAAAAAAGTTTATAACTTTTTTTATCACTTTAATAACCCAAAATCCATCACTGTAGCAACATAAAATTTCAGAAAATCATGTGAAGTATTTCACGTTTGAAGTGTTTAAAGTTATTACTTTCATGTAATTACTGTAACAAAGAACTCACATTTACCTTAACCACTAGCCTACAGGGCACTTATACCCCCTTCCTCTCTGGGCCAATTTCCAGCTTTCAGCATTGTCACACTTTGAATGACAATTGTGCAGTCATGCAACAGTGTACCCATATGAAATTTTTATCATTTTTGTGAGACAGATAGAGCTTTCTTTTGGTGGTATTTATTCACCTCTGGGATTTTTATTTTTTCTTAAACAAACCGAAAACCACAGAAAATTTTGAAAAAAAAAGTTTTTCTTAGTTTTTATACAATTTTGTAAATAAGTGATTTTTCTCCTTCACTGATGTGCGCTAATGAGGCTGCAGTGATGGGCACTGATAGGCTTGCACTGATGAACACTGATAGGTGGCACTGATGGGCACTGATGAGGAGGCACTGGTAGGTTGCACTGATGGGCATTGACAGGCATCACTGATGGGCACTGAAAGGCAGCACTGATAAATTACACTGATATATGGCACTGATAGGCAGCACTGACTGGCACTGATAGGCGGCACTGACTGGCACTGATGTGCACTGATAAGCGACACTGACTGGCACTGATAGGCGGCACTGATTGGCAGCACTGATATAGGTGGCACTGATTGGCATTGATAGGTGGCACTGACTGGCACTGATGGGTGACATTGAAAGGCTGCTCAGATGGGCACTGATATGTGGCATTGATGTGCACTGGTATGCACTGATATGTGGCATTGATGTGGTACTGATGGGCACTGGCACGTGGCACTGATGGGCACTGGCACGTGGCACTGATGAGCACTGACAGGTGGCACTTCTGGGGCCACACTGATCATCAGGGCACACTGATCATCAGTGCCCTGATGATCAATGTACATGTCCCCAGATTGGAGGACCCGGTGTTACCCCCTTGTTGGCAGCCCTGGTAGCATATAATATGTTGCTAAAGAATGAGATAGCCTTTAAATCTCTACATTTCTAAAAATAACACGTTATGAGGAGTTATAAAGAATTTTCCCCCGAGCTTAGTGAATGGGGCGAAACTCCATCATCCAATATTGTGCAAGCAAACATCCTGTTTTTTTTTAAAATTTTCACTGCATGTAATTGCAAAGAATACACAATCACATGCAAAGAATACACTCACATTCACTACGCCCTGGGGAAAATTCCCATGTGAGATCATCTTATTTGCTTTAGTAAATCAACCCAAAGCTGAAAATCTGAGTTGCAAGAGATTTCTTTAGCCCTATTTACATTATAATACGACCAATCGGTCTGCATAAAAATTGAGAAGATTGTCAGGATTTGGGCAAATGAAACAATTTTTTTAAAGATTTGCAGTCCCCCAAAGCTAAGGCAATAAGTTAATAGACTCAATATGTTGGAGTTCATTTCTAAGTTATTTCAAAAGACATTCATACATTTTTTTAATTGTATTTAATTGTATTCCATTGGATGGGTTAATCTTGTCTGAAAGTCGTGTGAATGTTGTCTACAAACATTTATAAATAGACCAAATAAGTAAAATATATAGAATATGTAAAAAGGAAATTGAGGCTGCAAAAATTTAAAACGAACGATTGCAAAAGATAGCAGGACCAACCCCCAAAAAATACTTCAAATATATTAATAGTAAAAAGGTCAGGTCCGAGCATGTAGGCCCTTGACAAAATAATCTAGAGTGGGTGACTGGGGACAAAGAGAAGGCAAATTTACTAAATAACTTCTTCAGCTCTGTGTATACAAAGGAGCATGGGGGAGCTCTTGTCCATAATGGGCATGGTATTGACACAGCTCCAGATGATCCACATTGGCTCACAATTGATATGATCCAGAAATATTTAGACAGGATAAAGGTGAATAAAGCACCTGGACCAGATGGCATACATGCACGGGTCCTTAAAGAATTGAACTATGTAATTTCAAAGCCATTGGTACTCATTTTTAGGGACTCTTTAATAATTGGCATAGTACCACTGGATTGGCATAAGGTCAATGTGGTGCCAATATTAATAAAGGGGTCAAAAACTTTACCAAGTAATTATAGAACTGTTAGTTTAACATCTAAAGCTGGGAAGATACTGGAGCATTTAAAAAAATACCACATACAGTAGATGAGTTCTTGCTGGAAAAAAAATATTTTAATTAACAGACAGCATGGATTCATGAAAGACAGAAGTTGTCAAACAAATCTGATTTCTTTTTGTGAGGAGGTAAGCAAAACCTTGGACAGAGGGGTGGCGGTGGACGTGGTATACTTGGATTTTGCAAAAGAGTTTGACACAGTTCCCCACACATGGCTAATGTGTAAGGTAAAGTCTACAGGTCTGGAAAAATCTGTATGTAAATGGATAGAAAACTGGCTAAAAGATCATATTCAGAGAGTAGTGGTTAATGATTCATACTCTGAATGGTCTAGGGTTGTTAGTTGTGGACCCCAAGGTTCAGTGTTGGGATCCTTACATTTTAATATATTTATAAACAATATAGGGTCTGGGATTAAAAATACAGTTTCAGTCTTTGCAGATGACACCAAGCTGTGCAGTGGAATAACGTCCTTACAGGATGTCTCCAACTTACAAGCTGACCTCAATGCACTGTTTAATTGGGCAACTATGTGGCAAATGAGGTTTAATGTTGATAAATGTAAGGTTATGCACTTGGGGGCTAAGAATATGCATGCACCATACATACTAGGGGGGGTACAACTGGGGGAATCAACGGTGGATAAGGATCTGGAGTTCTGGTAGATCATAAGCTTAATAATGGCATGCAATGCCAAGCTGTGGTTTCTAAACCGAGCAAAATTCTCTCTTGTATAAAAAGAGGTGTAGACTCCAAAGAGAGAGATATCATTTTAACCTTGTACAAATCATTAGTAAGACCTCATCTGGAATATGCAGTTCAGTTTTGGGCACCAATTCACAAAAAGAACTTTGGAGAACTGGAGAAAGTGCAGAGAACCTTATAGGAGGCATGGAGGAGCTCAGCTATGAGGAAAGATTAGAGGAACTGAGTTCATTCTCTTTTGAGAAGAGGAGATTAACCTCCCTGGCGGTATACCCTAGTGTATCTTGGGGTTAACTTTCAGTACCACAAGTGGTAACCCCGAGCTACACTCAGGAATACCTTGCAGCACTGCTCAGGGATTCCCTCTTGCAGTTACCTTGACCTGCGCTCCCGCGATGTCCCCCCTGCAGCGTTCACGGCCATCTCCTCTCCGGCCGATGCCAGCATCTGTGTTCCGGGTTCCGTTCCCTGCGAGCGTCGGGACGTACGGGGGAGGGAACCGGCGGGAAATTTAAAAAATGTTAAAAAGTGACATTCACTAAATACTCTAAAATCACATAGTATAACATTGCTGTATCAAACCATTTCACATACATTTTGTCCCTAGTGCTTTGTCCTGTGCCCTGCCTGCATTTTTACTGTTCTTTCTGCCTTGAAACTGAGAAACGTCCATGGCTTCCAAAAAGCGTCCCTTTAGGTCAAAAGCGGTTTTAGACCAGCTAGAGAACAGCGATAGTTAATTATAACCACTTACAGAATTGAGTGATAATGATTTGTGGGGAAATTCGGCATCAGACACTGAAAACGATTTTGCAACTAAGCTCAGTGATGTGCGAACTTAGTGCTCTAATTCAAATTTCAGTGTTTTTGGTTTGATTATGTTATTGAATTAAATTTATTATTATTATATTATTATTTTTTATGATTATTTATTATATTATAATTTATCATTTGTGTTTCAAATTTTATTATATCCGGGATGTTTACTTGTTTGGACAGATTTCATTGAGTTATTCCTAAAAATTACAGGCCTACAAGAAAAAAAACGACATATTTCCATGCAAAAAAAATGTACCTTTGAGCACAGAAATATTGACATAATCAGTCCGCTAGGGAGGTTAAAGAGGGATATGATCAACATGTATAAATACATCAGTGGGTCATATAGTGAACTCGGTGTAGAGTTATTCACCTTGAGGTCATCACAGAGGACAAGGTGGCACTCTTTACGTCTGGAGGAAAATACATTTACTGTATTTTTCTCTCCATAAAACCTTTTCATCCCAAAAAATGGGGGGAAATGTCTGTGCGTCTTATGGAGCAAATATGGAGCAGCCGACCCCGGTATTCCCCCCGTCGCCGCCATGTTAGAATACCGGGCCGGCCGCTCGGCTCTTCTGTGCAGCAGAACCTGCTCCTCGGTCCTACCTGTTCCTCGGTCCAGTGGTGTCCTCATCACCTCATCATCTTTAGTGTGGGCATCCGGCTGTGACAGCTTGCGGCTTCACAGCCGGGTGCCCACTGCGAATGCGCGAGAAGTGCTGCGCTTCGTGAATGGCCCCGTAGTCTTCCGGGACCTGTCACGTGTCCCAGAAGACTACGGGGAGGGAGATGACCGCAGAGGAAGTGGGAGCGTGTACCTCTCAGGTTCGGGTACCTGCCCCCCCGCTCCCCAAAGGTTTGCAGTTTCTGGTCATCTCCTGTACTATGTCTGCAGTCTCTGGTCATCTCCTGTACTATGTCTGCAGTCTCTGGTCATCTCCTGTAATACATCCGCAGTCTCTGGTCATTTCCTGTACTATGTCTGCAGTCCATTGGTTCAGAGTATTTTTTTTCCCTGTTTTCCACCTCTAAAACCTAGGTGCGTCTTATGGTCAGGTGCGTCCTATGGAGCGGAAAATACGGTAATCTTCAAATAAGGTAAAGTTTCTTTACAGTAAGAGCTGTAAAAATGTGGAACAGACTCCCTCAAGAGTTGGTTCTGGCCAGCTCAGTGGATTGCTTTAAAAAAGGCCTGGATTCTTTCTTGGATACACAGAATATAACTGGATACTAACATTTTATAGGTAAAGTTAATCCAGGGAATATCCGATTGCCTTACGGGGGATCAGGAAAGAATTTTTCCCTCTGCAGGAGCAAATTGGATCATGCTTTGCTGGGTTTTTGCCTTCCTCTGGATCAAGTGTGGGTATAGGATTATAACTTTTTTTTTCTATGGTTGAACAGGATGGACATTTGTCTTTTTTCAGCCAGACTAACTATGTAGCTTACATGATTTCTATTTGATAAAATGTACAATACAGTGCCTTGAAAAAGTATTCATACCCCTTGATTTTGACACATTTTGTCATGTTACAACCAAAAACGTAAATGCATTTTATTGGGATTTTATGTGATAGACCTACACAAAGTGGAATATAATTGTGATGTGGAAGGATAATGATAAATGGTTTTAAAAATTTCCATGAAAGAGATGAATAAAATGTACAGCAAGCGTGCAGCCCTTTCATTTTCCCATCTAAAAGCTATGCTGAAAATATTACCTTGCGGAGTAGAAGTCCATGTGAGATGTTCTGTGACAGCATAAATCCAGATACAAGGTGGTGAATAGGTCCTGCTTCCCCACAATGTGGTCTCAGTACAAAAGTATGAAACCCACGTTGCCTGTTGCCACAAAGCCAAAAAAGAACAAAGTTATATACATTTTCAGTGAAGCAACAAAAAATGTATATACATATAATGTATACCATCACCACATCACAATTAATATTCCCTCAATCAGGCCTCACAAAATCTCCATAACCAAGAATCAAATCACACCATAAATAACTGGAATCCTGGAGTCCTTTGTTTACTTTTTTGTCCTAGCACTAAGATACGTACAGGCAGCCCATATTACTGAATGAACACACACATCAGCTGTATGGACTCACCGCCTTAGCTGAGCTTGGCAGGTAGCATTATCTGATTAGATTCTCATTGAGTGCCCTTACAATTGAGGGGATAACTAAGTCACCCTCAACTCTAGGATGGTGATGGGAAGATGTCCTCTGTACCAACATGGCATCTAGGACTCCAGCTCAAGCAAAAGCGTTACTAGCTGACAGGAAAAGGGGGGGGCTGATCTGTCAGCGGGAGATCATCCAGGTACCCCACAGTACGAATCCCTTAAGCACGGATCAAGTCTAACACCAGGGCAAGCGCCAAGTCAAAGGACTGCGTGTATGTGAAAGGAGAGAAGACTCATACTGGGGATTTGGTAAATCTTATCTGTGAAGCCATTCATGCAATAGTATAAGGCAAAGATAACAGGTCTGGGTATAGACTGACGTATCCGATGGAACACGGACCCCAGGCCATGTGCTTAGTCCACAAATCAATAGTCTGGCCATAGACTGCCATAGAAGCAAGCGCAGACAAGGAAAAGTGGGGCCCTAGACTCCACTGGATCCTTAAACATAGGATTATCCTCTACAGGGGCTATGAAGGTCTTGTTGATATAAAAGATGGCAGGATCTACTATGAGGAATATCCATTTTTGCAGAAAATTTTCACCAATAGGATATTGCTGTGCAAAGCAGTTCTGGAGGCATAAAAATATTTTTCATGAGAGGCCAGTCCTCTTATAGGACAGGTTCCACAAGAGAGTGAACTGGGAAATTAGGAGTTGGCAATTTCAGGGACACCTTACTGGAAACTTTGGAGGAGGCAGGGGCATACATCATCAATAAGGATAGCTATGGCATCCTTAACCACTTGCCTACCAGGCACTTATACCCCCTTATTTACCAGGCCAATTTTCAGCTTTCAGCGCTGCCGCACTTTCATTGACAATTGCGCGGTCATGCAACATTGTACCCATATGAAATTTTGATCATTTTTTTCTCACAAATAGAGCCTTTCTTTTGGTGGTATTTAATCGCCGCTGGGCGCTTTACTTTTTGCGCTATAAATAAAAAAATTGCAAAAAATTTGAAAAAAAAAAGTTTCTTTGTTTCTATTATAAAATTTTTCAAACAGGTATTTTTTCTCCTTCACTGATGTACGTTGATGAGGCAGCACTGATGGGCACTGATAGGCGGTACTGATGGGCACTGTTAGGCAGCACTAAAGGGCACTGATAGGCAGTACTAATGAGGTGGCACGGATAGGCGGCATTGATAGACAGCACTAATGAGGTGTCACGGATAGGCGGCACTAATATGCAGCACTGATAAGCTGCACTGATAGGTGACACTGATGATGGGTACTGATAGACGGCACTGACTGGCATCACTGCTGGGCACTGACTGGCGGCACTGACTGGCACAACCCCTGGGCACTGACTTGTGGCACTGACTGGCAGCACTGCTGGGCTGCACTGGTGGGTGGCACTGGTGGGCAGCACTGGTGGGTGGGCACAGGTGGGTGGCACTGGTGGGCACAGGTGGGTGGGCACAGGTGGGTGGCACTGCTGGGCACAGGTAGGTGGCACTTCTGGGCACAGGTGTGTGACACTGCAGAGTGGCACAGGTGGGTGCACTGCTGGGCACAGGCGGGTGCACTGCTGGGCACAGGTGGGTGATCTGCTGGGCACAGGTGGGCGGAGCTAGTGGGCGCACTGCTGGGCACAGTGCCCTGATGATCGGTGCCAATCCCCACTCTGACAACTGCCGGTTCTCGGCAGTACTTTCCTCACGATCTGACAGCGTGAGGAAAGTGCAGCCGAGAACCGGCACTTGCATTTCCCTCTGATCAGCGTGTCATTGGACACCGCTGATCACGTGGTAAAAGGCCGCTATGATCGGCCTTTTACCACATCACGTGATCAGCTGTGTCCGTAGGACACATCGATCATGGAGATCGCCGGGTGCGCGCCCCTTGGGGGCGCGCAGGAGAGCGTGTTCTGGGGGGACGTCATATGACGTCCACTCAGAACTGGCCGGCCGCAGCAGTTTAGCCGTCATTCGGCTATCTGCGGTCGGCAACTAGTTAAATTTTGATGATATTTTGGTCAGAGGTACACTATATTGCCAAAAGGGTGTTCTAATCACCTCCATGGCCACAGGTGTATAAAATCAAGCACCTAGGCATGCAGACTGCTTCTACAAACATTTGTGAAAGGATGGGTCGCTCTCAGGAGATCAGTGAATTCAAGCGTGCTACTGTGATAGGTTGCCACCTATGCAATAAGTCCATCCGTGAAGGGGGATCACTAAGGGTGAGTGTCCTCAGTCACCTCCCATATCCTAGGCCGGCCTCTGGTGGAGGACTTGTACTCTGCGTTTCTGCAGTTAGCGTGGCCCCCCGGGGAGTGGTTCTTCTTCTCCTTCCCACGGAGGCCACCTTTTTAGACAACCCGCCTTTTTTTTGTTTGTGCTATACGTTTTTTTTCGTTTTCTTTTTATATTTCTTTTTTTATGGTTTCTGCTGGCTTCCATCCCTGTGTCTGTAGAGGCGGAGTTCCTTTTTTTTTGTTTTATTATATTTACCCTGTGTTTCACTTGGCTAAATGGAGAATTTAATATAGCTACCAATCTGAGTATGCTCTTTCTCATATATTGTGCTTATGGCTAGTAAACTGACCACTCTGAATGTCTTGACCTATAGACCCTGATTTACTATTGTGCCTGGGCGCATTTCCGTGGGCGAACGTCTAAATTTTATGAGCGACCTTCTACTTTTACCCGCTAAGAGATTTACTATTGAGCAGCGTCAAACAAGTAGACGCCCAATCGAATTTACTAACGAGACATACGCCAGGAATCAGACTCACAAAGCAGACTTGGTAAGAGGTATGTCTAACACCATGAAAAATCACTGCAGAGACATGTTCACTTTGAAATTTGCTTTGCCAAATATCAGGACTTCACTTTAAACAATATCTGCCATTTAAAAAAAAAATAAAAATGTGTTAAAAAGTTTTTTTTTTAGTAAAAGGCGAAAGATTTATTCGATCTGAAGAGAAACCAGAGTATGGAAGTTGGGTTTGTGACGAGGACAAACAGAGAAAGATGTTTAGATTAATACACGAGAATGTTAGTATGAGAGAGGTTGAGATTAATTATAAGTGTGTGACACGATGGCACATTACACCGAGTGTAGAGCACAAGATGAATGGGGAAAATTCAAAAATGTGTTGGAGAGGATGTGGAGAGATAGGCACGGTGTTTCACATATGGTGGGAATGTCCAAAAATCCAGGCTTTTTGGAAGGTAATAGTCAAACTGATTGAAGAAATAACTGAAATTGACATAGGATTAGACCCAACGACGTGCCTCCTACATAATGTGGAGATATCTGTAAATAAATACAAAAACTCAGGCGTCTGGTACTTCTTAAATGCGGCGAAAGGGTTGATACCCAAGTTTTGGCAGAAAACTGAGGTACCGAAGGAGGAAGACTGGATTAGTAGAGTAAACCAGATAAGCAGAATGGAAAGATCATACCATATGCAGGCAGATAGGATGGGAGTTTATTATATGAGATGGGAAAAGTGGGAAAAAGCAGGATTGAAAGAGAAATATAGGAAATTATGAACTAGGATGTTAGCTAAAAATTAATAAGCCTCGATAGATTAGAACGGGTTAGAGTCTGCAGAGGGGGAGGAGGGGTGGGAAGGGCTGGGGGGGGATGGGAAAGAAAAGATTTTTTTAGCTCTTCCCCCCCCAAAGCACCTCTGTCCCCAAGGGGAAATGTAGAAATGTTATAAATGTCTATTTATATGTGAATCGGTTCCCTTTTTGGGTTTTTGTATTAATATGAAAAATTTAATAAATATTTAAATAAAAAAAAAAAAAAAAAAAAAAAGTTTTTTTTTTAAGCAAATCGACACAGTGAAAAACTAGACGCTCGTGCAGCTTATTTGGTTGATACAAATGCGCATGTGCAGAACACATTTTAGCCGTCCTCTGTGGGTGCTTGCTTTTTAGCCACTGCTCAATAGTAAATCTCTGTGTGGATTCCTCTGACAGCTGACACTCGGTCACGTCTACTGTGTTTAACAAACAGCACTAGGCATATCTTTATGTATTCTAATATGATTTCCTTAGTTCTAGTGATTCTATTTTTGTTTCTTATCCTTTATAATTATTTCTGTACTGATTTTACTTATTTCGAAGGTCTAGAACTCTAGATAATATTTATTTTGACAGCTGAATGTAAAAATAAAGGTCCGCAATAAAAAAAACAAAAAAACAGTGTGGGTCCCCCCTCTCATCCATACCAAGCCCTTCAGGTCTGGTATGGATATTAAGGGAGAACTCCACGCCAAAATAAAAAAAAACAGCGTGGAGTACCCCCCAATATCCATACCAGACCCTTATCCGAGGATGCAGCCCTGCAGGTCTGGAAAGGGGGGACGAGCGAGGCGCCCCCCCCCCCCCTCCTGAACCATACCAGGCCACATGCCCTCAACATGGGGGGGGTGCTTTGGGGCAGGGGGGGCTCCCCCAAAGCACCTTGTCCCCATGTTGATGGGGACAAGGGCCTCTTCCCCACAACCCTGGCCGGTGGTTGTGGGGGTCTGCAGGCGGGGGGCTTATCAGAATCTGGAAGCCCCCTTTCACAAGGGGGCCCTCAGATCCCGGCCCCCCCCCCTACGTGAATGAGTCTGCGGTACATGGTCCCGCTACTCATTCACAAAAAAACAAAGTGTTGTGTAAAAAAAACACAGTACAAGATCT